ACTTAAATTCATCCCCTAATTTTGTCGGTTCATCCAAAGCCTGGTGCTCATGATGCTCAAGAGCAGTAGGCAAGCTTATAAAGCAAACGTGGTGTCTGTTTACAGTAGAGTTTTATCCAGCCCTGATACTGAATGAAATTATGTTACTTGCAAAAAATAGACTCTAGCGTCTCAAAGACCAGCATTGTGTGCTTTCTTTTATAATGGAATGTAGGGGACACAAAGGGTTATGAAGTAAAAGAGGGGCTATTAAGGAGGTGGGATAGGAAAGGGGTAGGTGGCGTAAACAAGAAAGAGTAGTGAGGTGCCCGTGATAGAAGTACATTATATGCATGGAAACGTCAGAATGAAGAATCGTCATTTTCTACGTTTAGTGTGTGCTAATGAAAACCAACCTTATTGCAACAAAAATATAATACCTGACTTAAAAGTAAAGTAACCATAAAGTAAGGGATTTAGAATTTAAATTGAATGGGAGAATAGAAATAGCTTATGTAAGGCCCTTTAGACAGAATTGGGTCAACAATGAACTTTTTTCTAAGCAGGACAAAGGAAAAAGTGCCCTAGCAGCTGCACGGAGAGTTCAGGAGAGCCTCCTCACAGAACTCTTCATGGTGAACATGTGACAGAAGAGAGGGCCACAGATAGAAGCCAAAGTGAGACCTGTGGGTCCGTCCTAGCATGTGGACCACCCTAAAGTAGGACCAGCCCTACTGCGAAGACTCTGACTCTGCTCTGCTTTGACACATCTTCAACTAGCTCCTTCAATGCAGATTGCTTCCAGTGATGAGTCTTGAGACTGTGAAAAAAGCTCATGGCGTGGGGGAAATCCACTGCTGAGTGTCTACCGCATACTCACGTTTTTAGGCACTAAATTCTGGACCTTTCACGATATTACTGTTTGCCATTATTGCCCCCCCCCCATCTCATCTTTCCCCTGGTGCTTAGAGGATAGCTGAATGACCTTCTCATCCTCTGTGAAAAGAGATAGATATACTAGGTCTACAGAGGGTCAGATAGAAAGACAGAAGCTTTACAAAAGAAATGGAAATAAAATATAGCCCAGACCCAGAAATACCACAGAGGATGGACACAGTGCAATCTCACAGAAGACTTTCCCAAGTGTGGGAGGAGCCAAGCGGTGGCTGCATGAACAGAGAAAAGAAGTCGCAATAACGCAGTAGGTGTGGTGACAGGGCTCAAAGAAATCTGCACAACCAAGCTATTATTTCTTCTAGTAAAATTAAACTCTTAATTGACAGATTATTTTCTTTAGTACAAACCTTTAGCTCACTTTTGCCCTGACAAGTCATCCACCAAGCTGAGGGGAAAGGTGAACACAAGTTTATCTTTGTATCTTAATACATGAACCATCACCAAAAAGATAAACCTAATCCAGGTGAAAAACACAGGAGACAATGGGTTCATTCATCATACTGTAGATACAGAGAAATTCATCTATCTGTCCTACATACCAAGGAATTTATGGTATAATTTTACAGGCTTTTAGTTAAGATCAACTATTGTCTTTTATACGACAGAAACAATTGGTTTGTGAATGTTTTAGGAAAATATATTTGTTGTCATAACTGTGTGTTTTACTTCTCAATTCTCCTTTGTATTAACAGCTGAAAAGAATAGTGTCAAATATGAAGGTGGGACAGTCGCTATGAGGACGATGTTTGTTTCCTGCTGAGGGGGATGCCCACAGGGCAAGAGATGCTGTCCCTTTATGTGACATAAGTTGAGCTTGGATATGCATCATCAAAAATATAAAGAAAATTAAATGAATAGAGCTTGGGGAAAGAGGAAGGCAGGATACTTTAGAGGAACAAGAAACTCATTAGAACTAAATGAATTTATGATTTCCTCAACATTCTACAACTTCTGAAACACTGACACAGAAAATACCAACTGACCAGAAAATACTGGGTTAGCTGGTTTCCATAATAGAACACCAACCACTGCTTGGTAAAAATGAAAGTCTGTCCAAAGAGCTTCCGTGCATTCAGATCCCTCTCTGTCTACTTTCACACTTATTGCTTTATCGATTATACGTTGAGAATATTTTACCATCAATGTGAAGACTAGAGTATTCCTTCTTGTGGGGCACATGGACTGTGCCACAAGGGAAGCTAGCATGGAGCTAGAGTGAGGCTGAGCTGTGTCCAAATCCTGAAAATCTTATTCTTGATCGCTCCCTCCCTGTCCGCATAGTCCTGTGCCCTCCACCCCCACAGCTCTGGAGGTAGTTACATACCCCAGCACCTGGAATGCCTCTCCATGCAAATGGGGCATCCTAGGATCTTAGGCCCTCAGCCAATGATGGACACCTACGCTGGACATCCCTTCCCACTCCCCAAGGATCATATAGCCTTTGTTCATGCCAATAAACACACACGCGCTGTTTCACTGAAGATCATCTAAGAAAGCTGTAATACCAAAAATCCTCAGTGAAGGCTTTCTTCCCCCAGCACTCCCAGCAAGACTGCGATCCTGCCTGTCTCGCCTGTTTGAAGAAGCAGAGCACAGGACTACACTGTCTCATCCTCATTTATCGTAGTCGGTCAATACACATGGGGGCAAAAGCATTTCCTAGACAGAGAACTTAGGCCATTGTCAGCATTTGAAAAACAAAGACTATTTTCCCATTATATCGCTATCAGATACTACAAATGTGGTGGCTGAAAAAAAAAAGACCCTATTATCTGCAAAGGTTACTGATGCCTGTGTACAGAACCTGAAAAGGTCAGAGGGAAGGAAGACAAAGCAACTGTAAGGGGCAGGATTCTAGAAGACGACCCCAGTGATCCTTATCCTGTAGCATTCCCCACCTTGTGGAGGGTTCGGAAGTATCATCATGAGTTTCTCATATATAGCCAGCTCAGAAAATATTTAATTTTTGACAAAAATAGGTGTTTTGATATTTAATAAATTGAGAACAGTAAGTTTTTAATTTGTTATTTAGCATGTTTATTTTTATAATCTACAAGCTGCTTGTTTTTAAATCATTAAGTATTAAGTGAATCTTATTTTAATTTGTGGACAATGTTCTTAGTGCAAAAAAAAAAAAAAACCCAAAATCATTTGTAAAATCATTAAAGTAACAAAATCATTTGTAGAATGGTCAGTGAAATAACAATATTGTTTATATTCCCCAATTTTTTATTATGCTGCCCCTAGCCAATGAAAGAGACGTCATTTAGATCATCTTTACAATGTACCAATTAGCATTAAAGTGCTTCCCAGACCAGTGTGGGTGGTTAATTAAAAATATCACCATTTCACCATTAGATATAGTCCCTTCCCTAACATGCTTATGACATTTTTTTAATCCAAATTACAAGAGTCGTGGGAAAGGATTACACATTAGCCAATTCCATCAGCTATAAAAGACCTCAAGTTGCTGTGGAATTTGGCTTCATTTTCTAGAGCAAGGGAGGGACAGCATCTCTACCTTCATTAAGAAGTCCAAACAACTTCAATTTCCTCCTTTCCAAGGGTTGGTACCTTCGCTTTTCCTTCTTTGGTTTGTGCAGGCAAAGTCTGAGATAGTCATTCATTTATTTTATCTGATTATAATAGATGGCATAATATTGTCTTACCGTGGCAGCAAGTTTAAAGGGGAGGTTAAGAAATTAATTTATTCACTCTCTTCAGCCCATAGACATTTATTAGGTTTCAACCATGGCACCTAATAAATCTCAACTGTTGCAAAGAGCTTATTGCTCAGCCACAGCAAGACAGAACTGCAATAAAGATGTGTTGTAACTGAGGTGAAAATCTACACAAGCCACTCTGATTACTGAGAAGTCAGGGCTTAATTATCAGTGCCGAGTCGCTCAGAGCATACCTTACAGGGGAGAAAGGGGGAGGATAGTGGGACCAGCGTTTGCAGCAAAGGGTGTTTTCATCAGAAAAGAACATGGGTGCAGCATTCTTGGATGTAATTCAGCGAGACGGCTGAAACGCAGTGTGCTCGCACCTTAACGTTGTTTCCCCTTTTATTCGCATCTCTTTTCCTTTAGGTTGGCGCCACTCAAGTCAGAGGCTGTAATACCTTCTTTTGTGACCTCTGCAGCAACCGCAGTACCTGGTCCACAGCTTAGGTCAGTGTCTATCGGATAATATGTAAAAAGGGTAAATAAATGGATGAATTACAGCCTATGGTTCAGAAATAGTACATGGGAATGTGCCATCATTCTGAACAATTGTTTCTACAATTTTCCATGTAATATCACTTAGCTTTCAAAATGCCATTAGAAGAGAAGAAAATACCACATGGAATTAGCTTCGCTTCTGTAAGCATTTATGGAGTGTAATTACTGGTCACTAATGAATTTTACCAGTATTATTTTCTCCTCAGATGCCTTTTGGCCCAGCACCCTGATGAAATTTCTCTGTTCCCCATCGCACAAGCCCATAGTTTTGGCACATAATGGACCTACTCCAGTCCCTGTTATTTGAACCAGACAGCTTCTGGCTCTGCACACCCAGGCTGGTTTCTCAGGTTCCTGCCGCCACTTAAGTTTGTCTTCTTTCTGGAATGTTAACACGCACTCTCTCACACACAGAGAACAGCACACAGCATCAACCACATAGCCCACCCCAACCACACACAACACGCATCTTCCTAGTTCCACACCCAGCTAACGTTGCATCTCTTTCATTTCCTCCGTGGGCCTGCCCTGCACTGCCTGCCGATACACATGGTGTAATGTTGTTACTAAAAAGGCCTAGAATTACACATCTGTCTTTCTCTGGCTGGCTCTAAGTAAAATTCCACAGGCAGAAGAAGCAGATAGATGTGCGTTTGTGTGTGTGCTGTAGCTGTACTGTTGTCTGTGGCAGGTCTTTAATAGAGTAGTACTCTCACTGCTAATAAAAATAAAAAAAGAGTTTAGGACAGCAAACTCTAGGTCTTCGTGATAAGGTGGTTTTGTTTCAATGGACTGGACGGTAGTGAGAATTCTCAATGCTTACCAGTCAGTGGTGGCACCATGGCCAAGAAGCGAATAGCTGTGATTGGAGCTGGCGTGAGTGGCCTGGGAGCCATCAAGTGCTGCTTGGATGAAGACCTGGAGCCCACCTGCTTTGAGAGAAGTGATGACATTGGAGGCCTGTGGAAATTCCAGGTGACATTTGCATTTTATTTGACTTTAAGTAAGGTTTCGTAAAATAACTATGGCAGTGTAAATGGTTTTGATAAAGGAAGCATACAGCATCTCACACCATCAGAGCCATTTAATGACCCTAATCTTTGTGCGTATGTCACTGATTAAGGAAATTTGTAAATATAGTCAAATTTAGATGAGGAATGAAACTTGGAAGATTGTATTCAAAGCATTTGAAATCTCATGTGACTCAATTATTAGTAAGAAGGTGATGGCTAACAACATATATGGATATATGTTCATATGTGTATGCTGTTTGGATGCTCTGCTGTTCAAAGTTAGGAATGCCATAATTTGGGGTGATAAAATAGGATGATGATCCTTTGCTGACCTTCTACCATGTACTATTCTATCCTGAAGTAATACTTGCATGCTATCCTTTCTTACCTGTCCCAGGGCAAAGTACAGAGAGATAGCTCAGTGTGTGTGTGTGTGTGTGTGTGTGTGTGTGTGTGTGTGTGTACGTGTGCTAGTGTTTTACAGGCTATTTTTCTTTGATTTCTAAGAAGCAAGAAATGCAGGGCTGAAGGGCGAAGACATGGTGCTAAATGCTGAGTAGGCTCATTTCTAAGTGGCACCTTCTCTTGGTGCTTTGCTCATCAGTTATTGGTTATGTCCATGAAATCCAGGACTTGTGATCAATGCTTTCCAGTTCTGCTCATCCTACAGAATCATTCTGACCAGCAGTCATGGATGGTCCATGTGACATCTTGGGGGTTTTCACGGATGAGTTCAGTTTCTTCTATTGCCCTTGGCTTTTAGCCCCATTCAGGACACGTATCAACAGCTAAACTATGAGGTCTCTTCATTCCTGTGGACAGTGGTTGTTCTGGCAAAGTAACTGGCGTAACTGTTTCCTAGGGATCTCCTCCTGGTGTCCCTGAAACAGACCAGTGTCCAAGAAGCATTCCAACTCAGCCCATACACCTTCCAACATGGTATTGACCCGACTCAAAGATGTCTCTATAACCTGAGGGATTTTCCCAAGGGCTGCTTTAACATACTGTTTTTAAATATCAATATCCATATTGTTTCTCCTTTAATTCGAGAGTTCATTCATTCAGTAAATATTTTTGAATATTTAGTATGTACAAGGGATATTTGCAGTTGATAGAATACTCTACTAAGTCTGAACGCAAATCCTCAGCATCAGGGAGCCCAAACTCTAAAAAGGCAACCTCAGGGATAATCTAGGAAAAGCATAGAGGGAATGTGGGGTACAAATCTAGGAGGAGGGAACGCGCCCAACATGTTAAAAAGAGTCAGAAAACTGGTGTGGTTGGCTTGTGGTGCCTAAGGGAAAGAAAACTAGGATGTATTTCTGAGGGATATGGGAAACTGGACTTTGTCAGTGGGTATAGACTGTAGCGAGGACTTTGACAGAAACTGAGATTAAAGAGACAAGGAACTTTCTTAAATTGTAGAAGGGCCATCCTGCTCCATGTTGAGAATGGACCAAAGGGAAGTCTAAGCAAGTGTATCTAATTTCAAAGATTCTCAATAACAGCATAGATATGCCATCACGCCAAACTATATCAAAATCCATGAGAGTATAGCAAATTGTACCGTCTACAATATGACATGATTTATCATATATGCTGAAATCCATTACATTTTTTCTTAGCAGTGTTATCATCTACAAATATTCTCTGTATCTGCTTATGAGTATATGGCTATTACACATATTTAATTGATCGTTTCTTTCATTAATATATAAAAAAAACTTGTCTCAAAAGAAAGGAAAATGTTACCTTGCATTATGTAGTATTGGTATTACTATTATCATCAAATTAGCTTTCTGTTAGAGCGGGTGCATAAAGCTGCTGATGCCCCCTAAATGTGGGGCGCAGAGAGTGCAGGAATGGGCAGTGTCTGAGAATGCATCAGCCCTTCACACTTCGAGTAGCATTTACGGCCACTAGTTCCCCAGCTTTTGTTTATCTCAAAGTGCATTTTCCTTTCATTTTTAAAAAAATTCCTTTTTTAATTAATTTTTATTTATTTTTTTGCATTGATTACATTTTATTCACTTTATATCCCACTTATAGCTCCTCCCTCATTCCATCCCAATTCCACCCTCCCTCTTCTCCTCCCTGCCCTTCTCTAAGTCCACTGATAGGGGAGATCCTACTTCCCTTCCATCGGACCAGAGCTTATCAGGTCTCATCAGGACTGGCTGTAATGTCCTCCTCTGTGGTCTGGCAAGGCTGCTCGTCCCTCGGGGTGGGAGTGGTCAAAGAGCCAGCCACTCAGTTCATGTCAGAGACAGTCCCTGTTCCCCTTGCTAGGGAACCCACTTGGATACTGAGCTGCCATGGGCTACATCTGAGCAGGGGTTCTAGGTTATATCCATGAATGGAAGTTGGTTGGAGTATCAGTCTCAGAAAAGACCCCTGTGCCCAGATATTTTGGTTCTGTTACTCTCCTTGTGAAGCTCCTGTCCTTTCCAAGTCTTACTAACTCCCCCTTCTTTAATAAGATGCCCTGCACTCTGCCCAAAGTTTGGTTATGAGTCTAAGCATATGCTTTGAAACACTGCTAGCTTGAGTCTTTCAGAGGCCCTCTGTGGTAGGCTCCTGTCCTGTTTCCTGTTTTCTCCTTCTTCCAATGTCTATCCCATTTGTCTTTCTAAGTGAGGATTGATCATCTTACCCCGAGTCCTCCTTCTTGCTTAGCTTCTTTAGGTGTACAGATTTTAATATGTTTATCCTATTATATGTCTATCATCCACTTACAAGTGAATATATACCATGTGTGTCTTTCTGTTTCTGGGTTACCTCACTCAGGATGATCTTTTCTAGATTTCACCATTTATCTGCAAATTTCATGATTTCCTTGTTTTTAATTGCTGAGTAGTATTCCATTGTGTAAATGTACCACAATTTCTGTATCCATTCCTCAGTTGAGGGACATCTGGGTTGTTTCCAGATTCTGACTGTTATGAATAAAGCTACTATGAACATGGTTGAACAAATGTCCTTGTTGTGTACTTGAGCATATGTTGAATATACTCCTAGGAGTGGTATAGCTGGATCTCGAGGAAGTGCTATTCCTAATTGTCTGAGAAAGCGCCAGATTGATTTCCAAAGTGGTTGTATAAGTTTACATTCCCACCAGCAATGGAGGACGGTTCCCCTTTCTCCACAACCTCTCCAACATGTGTTGTCACTTGAGTTTTTGATCTTAGCCATTCTGATGGGTATAAGGTGAAATCTCAGGGTCATTTTAATTTGCATCTCCCTGATGGCTAAGGACATTGAACATTTCTTTAAGTGTTTCTCTGCCATTCGATATTCTCTGTTTAGCTCCGTACCCCATTTTTAAATTGGATTACTTGATTTGTTGCTTTTTAACTTCTTTAGTTCTTTATATATTCTCGATATCAGCCCTCTGTCAGATATAGGGTTGATGAAGATCCTTTCCCAATCTGTAGACTGTTGTTTTGTTCTGACAACAGTGTCCTTTGCTTTACAGAAGCTTTTCAGTTTCATGAGGTCCCATTTATTGATTGTTGATCATAGAGCCTGTGTTGTTGGTGTTCTGTTCAGGAAGTTGTCTCCTGTGCCAATGAGTTCTAGGCTCTTTCCCACTTTTTCTTCTAACCGATTTAATGTGTCTGGTTTTATGTTAAGGTCTTTGATCCACTTGGACTTTAGTTTTGTGCAGGGTGATAAATATGGATCTATTTCCATTTTTCTGCATGTAGACATCCAGTTGGACCAGCACCATTTGTTGAAGATGATGTCTTTTTTCCATTGAATGGTCTTGGCTTCTTTGTCAAAAAGCAAGAATCCATAGGTGTGTGGGTTTATTTCTGGGTGTTTTATTAGGTTCCATTGATACACCATTCTGTTTCTATGCCAATACAATGAAGTTTTTATTACTATTGCTCTGTAGTACAGCTTGAGATCAGGGATGGAGATACCTCCAGATGATCTGTTGTTGTACAGGGTCATTTTGGAAATTCTGGGTTTTTTGTTTTTCCATATGAAGTTGAGAATTTTTCTTTCAAGGTCTGTAAAGAATAGTGTTGGTATTTTGATGGGAATTGCATTGAATCTGTAGATTGGTTTTGGCAGGATGGCCATTTTCACTATGTTAATCCTACCGATCCATGAGCACGGGAGATCTTTCCATCTTCTGGTATCTTCTTCAATTTCTTTCTTCAGAGACTTGAAGTTTTTTCAAACAGGTCTTTCACTTGCTTGGTTAGAGTCACACCAAGGTACTTTATGTTATTAGTGGCTATTGTGAAAAGTGTTGTTTCCCTAATTTCTTTCTTGGCCTTTTTGTCTTTGGTATACTGGAGGGCTTCTGATTTTTTTTTAGTTAATTTTGTATTAAAAGAATTCTTACTGGCCTTTGAAGTCTAGGCAATCATTTTTATTTTGTCATTTTACATACATTATTCTCTTTTCTGACATCATCGCTCTGATTGAGGAGTCATGTACAGGATTTGTTGTTGATTCAATGTGATGTGATGAAATGTGAGTGTGGGGGGGTACGGGGGGTGTTTTCTCTAGAAAATATAGGAGCTATGGGGGAAATATCTTGACAATCTTTAAAAAACAATCTTCTACTTTTTTTTTATAACTGAGCCCACTTAAAAATATTTCATTACCTTCTAATTATGAAGTTTGTTGTACTGAGGGGTCTTCTCTTATAGAAAAACCCTTCGGAGGAAATGCCTAGTATCTACAAGTCTGTGACCATCAACACTTCAAAGGAGATGATGTGCTTCAGTGACCTCCCCACCCCTGACCACTTCCCCAACTACATGCATAACCGCAAACTCATGGACTATCTCCGGATGTATGCTAAGCACTTCAGCCTTCTGGATCACATTCGATTTAAGGTGAACGGTTGTGTTGTGTGTGTGCATGTGTGTGGGCAAATACGTTACTTATGGGCACAGAAGTTCTGCCCAGCACCTTCTGGTTTCCTCAGATGAGGAAGAGTTTATCAGTGAGCTTCCTATGTCAGAAAAGTATCACGGGTTGAATGAGACTTTTTGAGAGTTTCGCTTGAAGGTGAGGCTGGAAATCTTTGCTCATCAGAACCTATTCTGACAGTGTGTTGCGGTGGTGCAGCCCTCCATGTAAGATATAAATCCAAAATGCTTGTGAACTTAGAATAATAGCAACAGCAGCTGAGCCAAATCATGTTGCTTATAGAACAAGAAGCTCATACAAAGAATGCTTATTTCCTACCTTCTACCTGTGATCAACAGTACAACTCAAACATACAAACCCGGTTTCACTTCATGATGAAGTTTTAATCCTTCAATTCACAACACAGGCCTGAGGTAAATAAACAGTCCTGTGCTAGAGAGGGAACAAAATAAAAAAATATTATCTCCCTGCATACGAAGTCTTCCTAGGAGAAGGTCAAAACTGTGGATTTAGTCACTCCCCTATTCCATAAAGCCTCAACCGTTTCTATTTAATATCCCCACTACACTGAAAACGCACTCAACAATGAGCTGCTGTGGAAGGAACAGGAGCTATCCTGGTGGGGATGCCTTGGGTAAGTGTCCTGTCAGGATCTGTGGGACCTGGAGAGGAAGACCAAGCAAGACCTGTGAAGTGAGTCACCGTGTTTCCACCCTTGTCCTCAGACCAAAGTGAGAAGTGTGAGAAAGCGTCCAGACTTCGGTGTCAGTGGACAATGGGATGTTGTGGTGGAGACGGACGGGAAGCAGGAAAGCCTGATCTTTGATGGGGTTCTGGTCTGCAGCGGCCACCACACAGACCCGCACCTGCCACTTAAGTCCTTCCCAGGTATGTCATGAAGAATCTGACACAGACGCATTTTCCAAATAATTTACAGGCAGAAATGAGTGCGCATGAATGTTACTAAGTTTCAGTGAATTTTTCCTGGTATCCCTCAGGAACAAAGTGTTCACCCTCTATTAACAGGACAATACAATCCATTGAGATACCAAAGCAGGCAAACACAAACACTTTTCCACTTATCATCACATACACCTCCTCACTTATAGCAAAAATCAGCCCACATTTAAATGGTTCTAGTTTTGTACCACTTATTTGATCTGTTTGTTTCAAAGAAAGTAAAATTAATAAAAACGAAGCACAAAGACAAGTGACAAACAAACAGCTGGCAAATCCATATATTTAGAAATCTTAACATATGGGGAAAGAACTTTAGTACATGTATTTATCATGAGTTTATTTTTAATTTTTAAGTAAAATAATTACTCATTTTCTCCTTTCCCTTTCCTCCCTCCAATCACTTCCATGTGCCATCCTTTGCTCCTTTTCCAAGTCATGGTCTTTTTCTTTAACTGTTACTGCTATACATCAATCACACATAGATATGACATATCATATCTCTCTATATGTATATATGTATATATGATTAAAGGGCTAGCCACTCTGGATTGGATAACCAATTGAAGGGGTTTTTCCTAAGAGAAGACTATTTCTCTCACTCTCAGCATTTCTTACTCACCTGTAGTCTATGAGCAGCTTATTGTTCCCTGTGGTTCTATGTGGTAAAATGGTACCCATCTCAAGGTGGATTGTTTTAGCTCCCTTATTTCCCTAAGCCCCCTCCCCTTACTCTTGACCCACTTTTCCTCTATTTCTATCATGGTACCACCAGGAATCACTAGAAAATATTTTATATTTCAATTATTATTTTTTTTTTGTTACTCAAGAAACCATTATGGGAAATGGAGGCAAAGTAAATAAGATTACCTTAAATGGTTGTTCAAATTTCTGAGTGAATTTACACATAACATACATAATCTTTTTGTACCCCAAAACAAATCTTTGCAAAATGAGAGTCCCTGGATTTTGAACATTATAAAGCAATACATTCAGGGAGGCATTTCTAAGTATGAGATAATCTACAGACTGCACACTAAGCTATTGTAGCAGCTTCTTTCTGATGCTCCCTGGCTGAGAGGCACTCCCTATAGAGAGAGAGAAACATGTTCACATAGAGCAGGCCTAGCCATGTCAGACAGATGGGGGGTTTTAAGCATCCAACCAAGCCAAGTACGGCCTCGGGTGCTGACATCGGGCACATAAGGCAGGGGAGAAACCAATGAAGAACAGCTCTACAGCTCCTAGAGAACTGTAACACAGTACACCACTCAGTCCACGTTGTTGATTTTCTTAGAGCTGGGAGACTAATATAACAATGAATAGTGCTAGATCCTGGTGCTGTTGGAACACTTTCATTTGTACAGAGCAAAGACAGAGAGAGGCATTATTTCATAAATACTTTATAAGCTCACCAGGTTGTACTGAGAACCCACGGACACAACTTCTGGGCTTAGTCCCCCCCCACCCCTGATCTCCTTTAAACATAAGTGACATTTGAGGATGATGTGTGAGCTTCAGCTGGCTGACCCAGATTTAATTTCTTGCTCCTCCGGGTGGTTCAGAATATAACTTTCTTCTCTCTGTTAAGATGTGAAAGTTCTCAGGGTGACAAATTACTTTCTTCTGCCACAGGCATCGAGAAGTTTGAAGGCTGTTATGTCCATAGTAGGGAATACAAAAGCCCCGAGGACTACGCAGGAAAGAGAATTGTTGTGGTTGGCATTGGGAATTCCGGTGTGGATATTGCGGTGGAGCTCGGTCGGGTAGCAAAACAGGTTTGTTGGCAATCATTAACTCACCAGTGGAGTCCTGGCCACTGGTAGGTGTCATCCTGAGTGAAGGTTTGGAAAAAAAAAAAAAAGGCCCACCCTCAAGATGGGTTCTATGTTCATACAGAGTAGAAAATGAATGCAAAATAAATCCCTTATACTAACAATGGGAACGGGCTTGTGAACAATTTACCAAGTGAGCTAAGTGAGGATGGTACTAGGTAGGTAAAGCATGATGTTAAATAACAAATCTGATTTTTTTTTCTTCTTGGTATGATCTGCATATGAGGGAGAACGTGGTATTTGTCTTTCTGAGTGTGGGTTACTTTCACCTAGTAAGATATCTTCCATGCACTTATTTTAGAGAAAACAATATAGATTTTCAAAGCAATTGATATGGCAATTAGCTTTTGAATTCAGACCCTTATTTACATATCAAGTACAGCTATGTCAATACCAGGAGGATTATTAACACGATAGTTCAGTGACAGGTGGATAAGTGAATTATATGTTAGTTTTCATTCATAAATTTGGTGTCATATAAGCTGCATTTGTTAAGGGGGTGGCTCAGGCAAAGTTCCAGTGGAGCATAGCATGGTGGCCGCTGCCCAGTGCTTTGCCTTCTGTTCTTCAGTGGTCAGCACTCTCCAAACGGGGTGAGAGCTGACGTCTGAACAGTACAACAGGTCAACCTTCCTCTCTTCAGTCCTGCTGTAATTCTGCCTCCCACAGGTATTCCTCAGCACTAGACGAGGTTCATGGATTTTACACCGTGTTTGGAACAACGGGTATCCCATGGATATTTCATTCTTCACTCGGTTCCATAGCTTCCTCCAGAAAGTATTGACCACGGCAGCGGTAAATAAGTACCTAGAGAAGACAATGAACTCAAGGTTCAACCATGCACACTATGGGCTTCAGCCCCAGCACAGGTAACAAACAGAGGGCTCGATGTAGGTCATCGTGTGTAGATGTGATGGGCTTTTTGCTTTGAAGACAATGTCATCTTTAGTTCCTGGTTGATCTCGTAACCTTAGGGATGGAAAGCACTCAGAATTAGATAGTATATTTTAAGGCGTGCAAATGTGCACGTGCTTCTTGGCACCACTTGATTCATCCATTCACCAGTCAGTTACCACGTGATTGCTTTACACCAAAAACTGAGACAGAAGGCAATGCAATGCTCCTCCCTTCGACAGACGTCAACTGAAGAGGTCAGAGAAGACACAAACATAGGTTTGAGCAAAGCAGTGTGAGAGGCCATGATGGATGGGAGAGCGGGGTGCATCTAGGTCCAAATCAGACATAGTCAGTTTCATTGGGGTAGGGATGGAAGTGACAGGGAAGCATTCACAGAAGGGGAGCTACCTAAGGGATCCCCCTCTGTAAGACTACCCCTGTGACTCCAGGTCTGATCCCATGAAACTTTCTTGGCTCAGAAATCACCAGTAGCTTCTAAGTAAAAAGCAAAAGAGAGAGTGGGATCAGGGCTAAGCCGAGTTAAGAAAGAAATATAAATGTAATGAAGAAATATTCAAATGAGTTAGTCACCCCAGGATCCATTGATGGGATACTTATCCTCAAATTTATATTTCAATGATATGTTGAGGTGGTGCCATCAAGAGTAATTGAGATTAGATGATACCATGAGGATGAGGCCCCAGTGAGGGTTCGGGCTTTTACAAGAGGAGGAGGAGATAACTGAGTCGGAGATTTTGCTCTGTTTCCCCGTGTGCCACTTCAGACTATGCAGTGTCCCCAGCAGCAAGAAGACACTCACTAGATGTGACTCCTTGACATGGGCTCTCCATAAATGATCTAAATCAATAAATGTTACATATTTTTTATAAATTACCCAGTTACCCAGTCTTACATATTGTTCTAGCAAAGGTAAACAGATCAGACAACAAATAATATCTTTCTTACATGAGTGCTTATTGTCTCCAATTACATGCACACACTCATACATGCATGTGTGTGTGTGTGTGTGTGTGTGTGTGTGTGTGTGTGTAGGCATGTGGGGGGGCGTGTGTATGCATGCTGTACATGCAAGTGGGTGAGAGCGTGTGGAGGGCAGAGCTTGATGTCCGAGGTCCTGTGAAACAGCTCTCCACCTTGTTTGAGGCAAGGTCTCTCCTTGAATACGGTGCTCAACAATTCAGTTGCATGAGACAGGAAGCAAGTCCCAGGACCTTCTTGTCTTCTCCTTCCCACTGCTGGGATTGCAGGTCCTCACTGCGGTGTTCAGGTTGCTATGCCGGGGCCGAGGGTGAAGCTCAGAGTCTCATTCTTGCACAGCTACCACTTAGGGACTCAACTATCCAGCTTCCCCACTCCCCCATATGATTCAGCAGATGGGACAAACAAATGTGATAATTTAATAACCTTCTATTATGCTGTGGATGAAAACATTACATTCTGTGGAGGAAGATGAGTACTGTTTTTGTTTGTTTGTTTGTTTGAGACAGGGTTTCTCTGGGTAGCTTCGGCTGTCCTGGACTCTCTTTGTAGACCAGGATGGCCTGGAACTCACAGAGATCCACCTGCCTCTGCCTCCCCGAGTGCTGGGGTTAAAGGTGTGCACCACCACTAAGCTATAGAATGTCATGAGAACTAGGAAGGAAGTGGGTGGCGGATATCACACAGACGTTGACCGTCTAGGGGTAGAACTAGATAGATAGACCAATAGAATGAAGCAATCCTTAGGAGTGATATTTACGTTAAGACTTAAAGGGCAAGAAAGAGCCAGCATGAAAAGTCATCTAAAAAAAAGAAGGATTCTTAAGCAAGTCATTCTTGAGCTAGGTTGGGGGTTGGTTAAAAAGCGACGAAGAGAAGAGAACTCAGTGCCATAGTGAACTCAGCAAGAGAACCACAAAGAGGCAGAAGCAAAGGCACATATGGCTGGATCACAGGGCAAAACCTGGACTCTGTCCATTTTTTAGATGATTGCATAAATTAAGGCATCCAACATGTTCTCTTATACACACACACAACGAAACTGTCACGGTAGTGAAGCAAACCGAAACATCCATGATCTCACATAGACCTATTTTGGCAAAAGCATCTAAATCCTTGATGCAATAGTGTTGTTGGCTCTAGCCCCCATGCACTGAGTTTGAACCTTAACTTGTTCATTCTGCACACTTTGACTTTACATCCTTTCATCTACATTTCTCCATGTTCTCTTCCACCCCCAAAACCTGCTAATAGCCATTGTAATCTCTACTCATTAGACTTTTTTCTTTACATACTACATGTAAGTAATAAAACACCCTTTTACAGTATCTGGCATATTTCACAGAGCATACTATTTTTCACGTTTATTATGCTGTGGCAGCTGGCAATATCTTTATTAATTTTATTAGTATTTTTTTGAGAATCTTGTATAATGTATTTTGATTACGTTTCTCTCTCCCTACGCCCCTGCCAGATCCACACACCCCATGTTTTATATATAAATATATATGTATAAACGTACATATATATTTTAAACCATCAAGTCCAATTTGTGCTGCCACATACTGCTTGATGCTGGCCTTTTGGACTTAGAATCTTATGCCTACTAGGTAAGTGTTCTATCACCCATATTAAGGCTGACTAGCATCTCAATGGACATACAATCACAGTCACAGATCAGGGAAAAAAGAAAGACACGTATCACAGTTTCTTACTCATTAGTCCGTGGATCAACACGTAGGTTCTGATTTTACTCAGGTTTACTCTTTGAGTAGCATGAGTAAGAAAACAATAAACATGGAGCTGCAGGTATGTTTTGAGGCAGTGAGCATTTCCCTAAGTACTAAGAATAATGACTTAGGAGTTGAATGATAATGCTACATGTTTATGTCTAGAGCTGAGACACTAAGGGACCCATTAAGGCTTTGAACAGTGTTTGAGTCTCCCTTCTCAACAGGTCAGATGAGTACCTGAAGATCAATTTTAGGGATCCCAAAGGTGAAACTCTGGTGCATTCTGGGAAGAGCTTGGTGTGTGATTCTGCTGAAAAGCAACATCAGCTCTTCATGAAGCAAGTGCCCTAGCACTGACGAAGTGGAGAAGTAGTAGCTGAATCCTTCCTGAGGCCACTATGCCCAAGAAGGAGGAGGCAAAGGCTTTCTTTGGCTAGCCCAACAAGATTAGGAATGTTTGCAAGTTTTTTCATCTTAGTTCACAGAGATGGCCCTCTTACCTTGGCCCACTACCTGCAGAACAGCCACCTAAAGCTGCCTTCAGCTACCAAAGGCAACTTGTAGAAAGTGTCAAACAGAATCCAAACAGGCAATATATCTGAAAATTGGGACAGCTACTAGGACAGCTGAGTGGAGAAAAGAAATTAGATTGCATAAAAACAATGAAGCACTCTTAAAGAGATCCAAGGCTACAAAGAATTACTCCCTGGTAATTAAAAACGCCATTTCCCAATTAAAAGCCAAAGGAAATAGTAGGAAAAAACGCTTACTAGAAAGATAAAAAAAAATTGGGATAAAGAGGAGACACAATACTTAAATAAGGAACAGAAGAAAAGATTTCCCAGATTGAAAAGGAGTCTCTGGATTCCAGTATACAATACTGACAACACATGAGTACGCAGATGCTCTCCATGGGAACCCTGCGGTTTCCCCACATTTTTCAAGGCCTGGTTGAACCTTACTGGCCAGCCACATGGTTAGTCTCCCGAAAGTTAGCCTGAGGCTGGGCCTTGAAGAACCCTAGGCATTTATAAAAGCTTTAGGTCTTTTCCCAGATCACTAAAAGAAACCAACCCCAGCCTTTATGTCAAATTCTTTAACCAATCTACAAACCCCATAGCCTCGGCCTGCTCACTGGGGCATCCCTTATCTTGTTTGACCAGAACACACGGTAGCCTTGGTGATCTCCTCTAGTACATTCTTTGAACATCTAGTACATTCTATGAGCCTGTTTCAGAATGTCTTACTTCAGAATTCTGCCCAATTACCTCTTGGAGCAGTTTTGAATATCTCCAGGTCCAGCCTCAGACAGACAAAACTCTCAGGAAAATTGTACCAATATGGCTCCACTCATAAAGGAAACCCAATACGGCTTTTGTTGATCTACATATGTACAGCATTGAAGACAACAGCACAATGGAATCTACAGATTCTGCTAGAAAATATTCAACCTCAGGCTCCTAAATCCTGTAAGAAGACAAGAAAGTCATGTGAGTTTGGGTCCACAATAGAAAAGTATCAGAGCAGGTACCTAGGACAGAAGAAGAAAAAGGGAAAAGGTGATCACACACACATACACACACTTATAAATATTTATTTATGATTAAACTTTTGTGGAAGTAGATACAAAAGAAATGAAAACACAAAAATAAATAAGAAAGGAATGAAGGAAAAAGGAAGGAGGGAAGGAAGGAAGGAGAGAAGGAAGGAAGGAAGGAAGGAAGGAAGGAAGGAAGGAAGGAAGGAA